TTATTAACAGTTAAGATATTAATATGCTACACCCAGTTAAAGAAAAGGCTGTCTCTATCCAATAGTTATAAGAACCTTACCTCTAAGGCGGTTGTGTAGTGTTGGGATTAGCATCCATTTTAGTATTTAGGGAAAAAGAGTCGTGTGTGTGGGAGTGGAAAGCGCGCAATTAAGAATTTTCTCATTTGAGGAAATAATAGACATACCGTACCAGTACCAAATGATAATAGTACAGGGGGCCAGATGCAGCAGTACAGCACTTATATAGGTATGTCATATTTTATTTAGTATAGCTTCATTAAATAGTACAGTACAGAATTTGAAAAGGTACAGTACGGAAGTTCTATATTCCCGCCTTCATACTGTATGACTAATGGTCTTGGCTTGAACATTTGGTAAGGTAAATATAATTTAATGATGAGTTATTGTATGCATATAGCGATTGTCAATTGCACATTCAGATAAAGTTAAGAGACTGTGCATGGAGCAATTTGTGGAAGCGTTTAGTCTATCAACCACAGTTTTGCCAAATTGGTAAAGTAACTACTAGCGGAAACCACCACTATTCAAAATAACTGTCGATGAGATAATTATCGGTGAAACGACACGTCGACGAAATGATATGACTGCTAAGTAAGATATATAATAAAGTTCTGACATCAGTCAGTTGGCAGTCTTCCCATCTACACTTAGCGTCGTCCCCGAATTCGATAGGCCGTCTTCATCTGGTGAGTTAGGCGATTAGAATTGCCTGGAAGACCGATCGAAGTCATCCTTTCTGTCAGTTTCATTGTTGACATAGTGATCGGTGATGGAGCGGGATTGCGTGTCTTCCGAAGGATCTGGTTGATAAAGAATCTGATAAATGCAAAACAGGATCGATGTAAGTGAAGAGGGAGAGGGTAGAGACGTTGAAGAAAAGGTAATGGAAGGAAGGAAATGGCGTTCGTGCAAGATGAAGTTGGTGAATAAGTGAAAGTAAATGGGTATCACATGAATTAATGTGAGTAGCGAGAAAGAGGTAACGTTTTACCTATCTATTGCAGTCAATCAACGATCGTTCAAATCGCAGAACCTTCTCTCGTTTTCACCCATCAGCACTCACACATTCGCACTCACCACTCCAAACAAGTACATCCTTCCCTCCCTCACACACACACACACACTCTCTCTCTCTCTCTCACTCGCACATTCACTTTCCTCTTCAGGGATTTTAATTATCCTAATACTATTTACCTGCACTCCAACTCTTTAATTTCAATTTTCTCCAAGTTCGATTAGCTTTCCTCGTTTGCGTTTCCCAACTTCTTTTCTAATTCATTGATCTTTCTGACTTTCCAATTTTTGAATATCATTTCAAGAACTGACATTTTTCCTGCATTACGTTTTCTCTTTGCAACCGGCGATCACGGAACCTAGCCGAAACACTAGCGTCACGACGACGTTTCTGCCAATAGTTCAGCGGCAAGATCGGCTTGCAGGAAATGAATATAGTATGGATAGTAGGTGAAAAAGTTGGTGGTTGAGGTTAAAGTTGAGGTGAGTTTGTGGTGGTTTGGTTGACGACGAAGCATGAATAATTCTGTCACGTGTCAGTATATGCGCAGTTCTTTTATCTCCTTACATTCTCAGTGTTTTTTTGCTCCCACCTTCCATCTATCTTTGCCATTTTTCGTCTGTCTATCTCTTTCTCTCTCCTTTTTTTGGTTTTATCCAACAACATACACATCATACAACTACCCACAACCTATGCTTATTAATGCCGACTCACCTGACATGGTTATTGTCTGACACATTAAAGTCATGGGAAGAAAGAATTAGTGGTAGGCAATATCGATATGAGACTAATAACTAATCTGGCCCAAAACTCGTGTGACAATTCCATATAGGGAAAGGCTAAAGCGGAGCAGAACGTGATCCTGTATTTGCAGTTTTATTGGCTGCCATACAAATTTGACCAATGGAATTGCGAGGGATCTGCTCCGCTTTAGACATGCCCTCCATATAATAGGACACACGAGATTTCGTCAATCTCGACCAAAATAAATTAAACACTATGTGTATCTATAGGACGCTTCTCTGGATGTCACACAAGGCCTTTGCATATATAAACAAGACACACGTACTTAAGTTGCATCATATTCACACTATGTCTGCCGGTTTCAATAACCAAGCAAGTCACGAAAGCTATACATACAGCAGTCCATCCGAACAGATGCATAATATAGACTCGCGTTATATAAACATTCTTCCATTAAATCAAACAACCGTTATGGACTCGGGTTATTTGAACGTGGACAGTATGGACTCCAATGACAATTACTGCTATCGACCTCCCGGTGGAACGTCTTACCATCCTCCTAGTCAAGCCATCTTTTCTCCTAATATTAACTCTCTTGACTGTATCCACAATTACACGGGGAATGGAAACGAACCGATGAATACTACCACGTCTTACAGATACGTTGAAAATAACGATGAGCGAGTTAACTATTCAGTTTTTCCAGCGGTTAATGACATGAACTATTATAATAAACCCTCCATCCCACAAACGTCAAGTCGCACACCATCTACTCCTAATTTTTTCAACAACGCAAACGTGATGACAAACGCTACGAGTCATGGATGCATAGTAATTATTATGAAGGCAAATGTTAACCTGGAACAACTGCTATCTATCCTTCAATCATGTGGAATGGTGGAAAGAACATACATGTAACTTTTTGTGTAACCTTTATTTTTTATATATATTGGATTTTTGGTTTTTAGTAAAATTTGGATTATTTTATTATAGAATGTGATACTTTTTATACGCTATTGTTTGCATTTAGGTACACTTGGGTGTAGAAATAATATTCACACTTATACGAAAAAATACGATGGGCGTGGCGGGGAGCAGCGCTGTCCCAGTACTATGAATAAATGTAGTTAGAGTATTTTCTTTTCAATCGTCTTATGGAAGATGTCTGGATGAGATTGTATACATATCCATAATAATAAAAAGATAGTTTGTTTCGTTTTTTTAAAACATTATGACATCGAAAACACTTTTATTCTTCATTTTTCGTCTCTCTCTTATTGAAATAACATCCGATTGTTGTTAATAAAGATTGCTGCGACGGACGATATCACCCCTCACCGGGAGTGGATAATTTTACAAAATGACAAATAATGATGGAGTTCTAAGACGATAAGATATAGTATAAAATATAACAACACTATTATAATTATAATGGCGCAAAAAATTTCGTTTATGCATCGATTGAAGAGAATAAACAATATTGGCACCAATCAATCGGCCTTTGTACGTAGTCACACTAACTACTGATGTTTATTTTTAACAGAAAATTCTTCTGAGTAGGATATGACTCGAATGCTTAGATTTGAACAATGCGGGTCAATATTTGGATTTATCGCAAGCGCTTAAATACTGTCGTGAGACGTGCTAATAATCATATTTTGTTGCTTACTGACAATGCAACGCCACATAAACCCCGAAAAAATAACCAATAGACTGCTTAACGTTCACCACCCGGGCTTAGAGGGTATTATAATACGACTTAAAAGTCAACTTAGTTTATAGACCGCTTCTATGTGACAAAAATATGAGCATCACATTCTTACACATCAACGACAAACTCATTACGAATCTTGGGATCAGAATACGGTAATCAGTTTATATGGATATTACGTATGTCTTTATCCAAAATCATTAATACGATAGAGAGAAAAATAATCAACTTACAAAATTATCGTCTCGGAAAGTAAATTACTATGCATCCATGGTATCTAGTTCGATATCTGAATTTACTAATACCACAAAATTCGATATATGAAAAACGAAGGACAATCGTATAATGTTTCTATTCTCCCACACCACATAATTGAATAATGGACAATAGCCTGTCCAGATAAGCATCTGCTTTCACGACCATAAAGATGCATTCACGACTCGTAACGTTTGTCATCATGTCGAAATTGTTGGAAAGAGTAAAAGTAGACGGTGTTTGAACGAATAAATGTGGGGTATAATAAATCGAAGATAAATTATAGACTCCTCGGTTTTCGTTTCCGTATACCGTAAGATGTGGTATTCAAGTGTTCATTTCCGCCAGCATAGATGTTATCCCAAAGAAGTAGTTTGGTTTGAAGGCTGGGTAGATGCTTGGAAGATTGGAGTGGAATATGTTGGCTCCCATACTATGAATGTTATCTGATGGGATGTCGTGCATAATTAGGGTCTGTAACACACGTTTGATCCGATGAAGCATCGTATGTATAGCTTTCGTGATTTGCACTGTTACTACTTCAATATTGCCTCAGTCAAATACCGAGTAAAGATTTTTGGAATAAATTTAACAGACATTTTCAATGGTTATGCTATTTATATTATTGTTTCTACAACAACTTTATTGTATAATTTATCAAAACAGTAAAGAATGTTTCTGAATTATTTGGCAAAAGCTTATGAACGCACCTTTCCTTTACTTACATGCTTGTCAAATCAGTTACGGAAGGTAAACTAACGAGAGTACCCTTCATTTGCTGGGTGTCAGAAAACTTTCGCCAAACCATTTTTACAGACACGCCCGCGTACACGACTCTTCGTGGAAAGAATACAATACGTATGTTGAATTTGGATTCGTTTTGGCTTGCCCTTTTTTTTTGTCCATTATTGTAAATGGAAAAAAAATTAAATTCTGAACGAATGGAAGATGTGTGACAACAAATTATATTCGCATATTATCCGATCACCAATCAACTAACTTGATTTGTAATATCTTTTTAGCGACTGTAAATTAATTATAAAATACAGTCATTCGCACCACGTCGCCGTTCTAGTTCATCTAACTCAAGTGTGCCACCACTGCTACACAGTACAGTGCCCTCAAAATTCGCCAACTCCCACAGACCGTTTCAAACCTATCGGTTATGGTCAGCCGGTCACTTGTTATAGTTTTCAGCTTACTACAATACTGCCAGAAATTAGTTGCTTATTTCCATTACATGTCGAATCATCTGTGCACGTCGAATCGCACTATCCACAAAATGTAAACGTTGGCTAAAAAAGGAATAAATTATCACATTATTCACGTTTTTTTCTTTTCTAAATTACTGTTTAATGTTATTTCCTGAACAGTTTTTCCTACTTTATTTATTTTGATAGGAAGAAAAAATATGCTAATAGGGATATTTTGTTTAGCGCTCGAAATACTGAAACAGCCCTGGTAACACATACTGACATGCGGCTATCGGAAATTCTAACCCGATCACACATGCCAGGTTGGTACAGGCCATAATATTTCTATTAATGAAGCCAATTGGCGTTTTGAGACATTTCTACATTTGAGCATGTACAACGTAAATGCAATCACGAGTTACTCTAGTGTAACAGTTGGACTAACTGATTGTATCTTGTGTTATGCGTTTTTACTTGCTTGCTGACTATAAATAAAACCGTGGTTCGATCGGCGTAAGTACGCTCTGAATTCACTAACGATATACTGCAAAATTAATATTTGCTAAATGTCCACTCACAATACTCACTTTATTCCCAATATGACGAGTGTTAATAACCAAGCGAATTATCCATACGATGTTCCATCGGATCAAATACCTCTTGTGGATCCTAACTATTACTATACCTACAATCATCCATCGTATAACGATAACATTCGTAATATGAATGATGCAGGTAGTATTTCCTTGAATCAAGCAGCCGGTGTCAACTTCAGCGACATACATGCCACTCCACTCTTTCAAGCATCTACCCAGCCTTCCAGCCAAGCTTCTTTTTTTATGGACACCAATAATATTTACACGGGCGGAAACGAACAGTCAAACACCCAGCCTTACGCATACGTCGAAAACAACGAAAACCGAGGCGTTTACAATTCATTCTCAGGTTATTATTCAACTCTTTCGAATAATTTCGACCCAATAACAAACGTTACAAGTCGTGAATGTATAATAATTGTCATGAAAGCGGATGCTAGTATGGACAGACTATTGTCTATTATTCAAATATGTGGGAGAGTAGAAAGGTTGTACGACTGTCCTTCGTTTTTTATATACAGAATTTTGTGGTATTGGTAAATTCGGTAAATTGCAGTTATATCGAATGGGCATATGTGGGAGAGCAGAGAGCCTTTATGTTTATTCCTCTTTTTATATATCGGGTTGGCAACTTATGATTTTTTATTATATTGTATAAGATTTCTTTCTTTTTTTTTCATATGTTTTGAGCGCAAAATAATGATTGCGCTTATATTTATGTTACCAATAAGACAACACAAACTTTCGAATCGTCAAGTACATGTTCAATTAAAAGCCTCCCGAAATTAAAACTTTAAAACGAAGCAAGCTACGTTTCTAAAAACTGTAAGAATACACAGAGAACGGATATACGTATAAACGTA